CCGAACCGTTCGGACTGGTCGGTCTGGAGGCCCACCTGGTCCTGATGCCGTCCCGTGCCGAACCGTTCGGACTGGTCAGTGTGGAGGCCTCGGTTATATATATATATATATATTTTTTTTTTCTAACACCTACAATTTCTCCCAATTTCTCTAAACTTACTGACAAAGAAAAAACTATTCTTCTCTTAACTTCCCCAAAACTACATATTTTGGAAAAGGTGGGACATTACGTCTTCCACGGTTTAAAAAAGAGAAGTCAAACCCTTCAGACATAGGTTTAGACATCACTCTTGTTTTATTCAACTTTTTTTCATTATATAGATAGTAGTTATTGTATAATCTGTTTCAATAGTGTTGTATGTTTATGAGTTGCAATTAGCCTCCGGGCACGAATTTGCAATAAACTTCTTATTATTAATAAAACAGAGGGTCCCATAACTTAACTTTGAACGAGTTTTAGTTTGTCTTTAATATGCGCAAGGGAGACTTGTTTGTTTTATCCATTGTGCTGAGTAAATGTACCTTGTACGATACTTGATACCCTTTTATTCATGATATTGGGTTAACGTACAGGTTGCTACATTCAGACAGTCTGAACCGCGCTCTGTCGCTTGTCCCTCCCTGCCATGGAGTGAATATCTCCCCGTTTGAACTCAACGAGATGGGGGTGCTGTCGTATTCTTGGAAGAACGTCTGTAGTTTTTCCGGGTCTGTGCAGTCCAAAGTTGCCAGTTCATTCTTGATACTGTCTTGCTTCTTTTGCTGGAAGCGTGTATATTTCTTGACTCCATTTTGAGGAAACTGGCTTCCCTTTCTTTTGCGTGTTTTCACTTCCATCGTCACAGGTTGACCAATACTGTCGACCTTTCTCAGCTCACAGTGCAACTTAACTGGAATTACGCCTTTACGTAATGTAGACCGCGATCGGACAGCGCCTCCAATGGGCACTGCTTCGCTGGCGAATAATCTCAGACCGTGGCACGCGAAGATGTCTTCTTTGGTTGTCGTGTTGACTGGAGATCCGGAGAAAATCGTGCAATAGTACCCGTCCAATCCGTACCGAGAAAGGCTTGACTATGGTAAATGATTTGCATGAAAACTCGTTTAACCTTTTTACTTTAACAAATAAATGAAAACAATTCTAAGAATTTTATGACCCTCTTTTCACAAATCAAGGCAGGAAACTTTTGCTTTTTTGGTGAGACACAGAAACCTCGCGGCCGTTAGTCATCGGGCGTTACTAAGTCATGGTTGAGTGAATAGTGCCACGTAAGATGATTTGAACATAATACGCCTGCGCTCAGCAGACGTTCCCATGATGCCTTTGAAGAAGAAAGTCGCTGAAAATCTGTTCTAGATAACGATTCTCAACTAAAGCATTTGGTTTTCTCCACCACCAAACACTAGGTGTTCCCCTTGAACATAACTATTGAGCAAATTTTGAAAGCTTCATGCTCCCCCAAGTCAGCTTCGGACTAGTTCCAACCGACATTGCCGCGGCCCCCTCCCTCAAATTCAAATATTATGACAAAGGTGACCACACCTTAACGTTTGTAACTGCCTAGGGCTGTTGGATTCTGCGCACTGCCTGATCGTGCCGAAACCGGCGGGAAAACGGCAAAAGTCTTCACTTGATAAGCTAGGTCGCCCTGACAGAAGGCGTCATGGCATCAAACAGGAACGTTTATCAGCGAAGAACATTATGGGAAAAAAGAATGCAAATTAATTTACGTGAGTGTAATGCATTTGTGAAGGCGTTTGATCAGCTTAAGAACAGGGACTTAAGAACTCTATGTGAGCAGCAACTTTCACGGGAACGAACGGACCATTTCCTTCAAGAAGAAACGAAGAAGGTAAAAAAAAATGGCGTCTAACGAACTTACACCCGGTAACATTATTCTTTATTGGCAACTGCAGTACACACAATATAAATATATTATCGTACTGAAACTAATTACTTTACAGTACTGCGCTGCAATAGCTAAAATGAGCTTAAAAATTTGACCAAGAAAAAAAAACCTACTTAAAAAAAAACCTTATGTTAGGTTGGTTAACACAGTCTTTTTTTTTCTCCAGTTCATAGACAGCATCCTGTTTTGGACGGTAGTGATCCCGAAACACGGTCTACCATTTCAGGACATACCTTCCCTGAAACGTCTACAAGATATGCCATCGAACGTAAACTTTGATGAACGTGTGCGTGCGTTACGTGCGATCAGCCAACATGCCGCCCAGGCCCCAGATCCGCCAATGGTAGTGATCTTGAAAATGGTAAGTACATGTACCTAAATCCCCGTAACAAAATTTTCAGCTCAGGATTTTTTAAGTTTCAGACTAGAACTTATAGTATCCCATTTTCTCCTTTTTATATCAGTCTCCCTGACTCTAACAATTGCAAGCATATGACATTTTCACAATTGAATAAATGCATTACCATTATATTACAGACACTTGGGCTGTTCTTAGTATTTGTATGTGTTCTGCGTTAACCTTATTTTGATCATCAGTACCGTATACAGATAAAGTGAAATCATAGCAACATCTTGTCATTATGCCATTACAAATAATCTAACGTTATTTTGTACATGTGTGTACCTTATAAGTTTCTAAACAAGGTGTTCCAATGAAATTAAACATATACAGTAACTGTGTAATGAAAACATTTTGGATAGAAAGCAATGCATCACGGTGAGGTAAAATCGAAGTGAAAAA